AAACAATAAGGCACGAAGAAAGCTGAGCGAAAAGTTCTCCTGCTCACGACGAACACGCGCAAGTTCCTAGAAAAACATTTCCACGATTACAGACAAATCCTTCACGTCAACCGTTGCTTCGGTACGACCCACAGGACATGAAACCGTCCCTCATCGACTGACATCCTCCCCAAGTCGAAGTGTACCTTGAAAGGACAGCCAGGGCTAGATGCTTTGGGTATTAGGGTTTATGTTCGTGGGTGGCTAAAGATATCACACCCCCTGCAACACTTTCCATCAAAGCTCGACTACACCACAACGCACAGGGAATAGGAAAAAAAGTTTGCGTTCGGGAAGCTCTCGACGAGACGGTTGGTTCCAACGCCGCTATCTTCGGCACCGCCACTCGCTTCTTTCTGCTGGGAAGCAATCGAGCTGTGAAAACCATCATCATCCAGGGTGAGTAATACCTTACATCCATCATGTCATGTCATGTCACCTACGGCAGACAGCAAGGGTTGCGTTGTGCTGGTGGGGGTAGGGCTTACCTGGGCGGTCTTGGCCAGAAAGAGCCGGGCGTTGCTGTCCTTGCCGTGGTGGTTCGGCCGGAAAAGCCTGTCCGCGCGCGCGTGTCCCGTGTGTCATTCCGTCCCATGTATATAACCCAATGTGTGCCGCAACCCCATCCCGTCCCATCACCAAACCGTGAGAGAAGGCATCACCGGCAAGACGGACGGGATATGCGTAGCCCAAAAACACCAGCGCGCCGGTGACAAAAACGGGACGAAGCGGGACGGAAACGGGACGAAAAAAAAATTGCGCGGGAAACCATGATGAGACATTCGCAGCATACGTAGACAAGGAGGCAAGCCCGTCAAGATGTCCAAGATGATCACACAGAGAATGCACGCCATGCCAAGCTGCTACAACAGAGGGATATCATGACGACTTGGGAAAAAATATTCGGCAATGCACGCGCCTGGAGCAGCAACTAGGGCACCGACACAAAAGGTGGCCCAACGACGCGCACAAGGGCTACGTGCAGCTGGCGAGCATGAAGCACAATCGGACGATGACGTCGAGCGCAAGACTCTAAGACGGTACGGTTTGGTACGGTAGAAAGGGCCAGCGAAGCGTGGGAGCAACAGGAACGGAGGCTCTCCTTCGTCCTCTCACCTCCTGTCCTAGGGCGTACCTATTTCGTCTTCCCTGTCCCTGCCAGACACGCCTGCTTGGTGAGGCGGCAGTCCCATCATTTCAGGGGCATCTCAATCCCATATATTTTCTACTTCTCCCGTTAAAAACGCCTGCTTGTGGAGGCGGGAGTTCCATCCCTTCCAAGCCATGTCTATTCTATATCTTTCCTTCCTTCCCGGTAAAAACGCCTGTTTGCCGAGGCGGGAATTCCATACTCCAGAACAGAGCAAACAGCAGCAGCAGCAGCAGCAGCAGCGTCCGTACCTGAGACCGTAGTACCCATTGGGCACGCGGGACTTGCGAGGCTCCTTCTCCTTCCTAGCGGAAAGATCTTCCCCCGCTGGTTCTTGTTCGTCCGAGGACACCGCCTCCGCGATGCACCCCGGCAAAGAGATAACGCCTCTGGCTTTTCGATCCCTGCACATGCACACAGAGCCAAGCCCCCACACGACACACATGCAAGAGACAAAACGTTGAGCCAACCCCTTCTTCAGACCACCAGAGACCTTCTCCAAACTTTCACGACACGGCAATTAGTTAGCAACACCGCTAGAATAGCTCAGCGGTAAACAGATCCTACGCAAAGATGAAGAGTATACAACGATAACCTACGCTCGACGATAGCGACGACACACGAAACAAGTTTAGCCTGGGACCTGAGACGGACTTGATTGCGGGTCCGTTCTGTAACCCGCCCAAGGGGAACGGTGGATGAACAGGATGAAGAGGCGTGCAATCAACCCCGATAGATCAACCTGACCGTGGCGCTCTCGAGGCTTCCTGGACAAACAACAACGGCTGGTGCCCAATTTCGCGTTCTAGCGCCTTGAGACAAAAGATCGCATTCCCGGGAAACAGCGACAAAAAATGACAATTTTGGTGCAGAGGGCTTGCCGACATCGCATTGAGAATAAAAGGCTTAGTGCTGCAATCAAGGGAATACGGTTCTAGGGTGCAGCTTTGTTCACCTAAACCAACATCGCACCGAACGACTCGAGGACGATGACGATAGTCTCAACACCTTGAACGAATTGCAAATTTATCCCTGGCAACCACAAACAAACAAACAAACAAACGAAACACGATCAACACCAAGTCAGACGCGCTTATGATTGAATATGGGGTCTTGCATTTTAGCGGAAAACAAAAGAGTGCTTCTATTCTATCTATTCCACATGGGACGGCCTTTTCCTCACCCGGGCTTGACGAAGTAGTACAGAGTGTTGTCCACGAGCATCATCCAGCGGCGGACCAGCCGGATCGACCCGGGCTTCCAGAGGTACCCGTCCAGGGCGACCATGCCGTGGCTGTTGTACAGGCAGTCGCGCACCACCTCCTCCGCCCCCGCCGACGCCTGCAGAGCCTCCTCCCCCTTGTCCTTCTCCGCCCCGTCGGGCACGAACGGAAACACGCCGCGCTCGGCCTTCAAGAGGGGAGAGATGTTCGAGTGTGGGAGGCCGAGCTGCACCTCTGTCGACGGCAGGACGATGGTGTTCGGCATCGGCGGCGGTACTCTCGCCACCGAGGCGGCGGTGGCGGCGGCGCCGTTGCCGCCTTCGCTCACGCTAGCTCTTGTGTGGCCACCGCCGGCGCCGTGGGCGGGGGAGTCTCCGACCATGCCCCTACGTTGTTGGTCTATCACCGCGACGGGATCCCTCGCGGGGACCGCGGCGGCGGCGGGGTCCTTCTTGCCGTAGCCCGGGCTGCTGAAAATGCGGCTACCGCTCGCGTCGCTCGCTCGCGCTCGTGGAGACGAGTCAGTCATCGGCGACGCTACGCTGGCCGTAGGAACACTGCCGCCGCCGCCGCCGCCGCCGCTTGCAGTGGTGGCGGCGAATGCTGGGTCGGTGGTGGCGGTGGCGGGCACAGGGTTGGTCGGAGCGTTTCGCGAGGCGGCCGGTGCCCCGCCGGCACCGCCAAGCGCCGGCACGCTACGGCCACCGAGCGGCGGCGGCGGCGGCGGCGAGCGGCTGCCGCTGTCGGACACGCTCTCTGCCCTCGCACCCCACGCCGCCGCGGAGAGGGAGTTCAGCCGCCGTAACGCCATCTTCTTCCTGCCCATGCGTGGAACACTGCCCGGGGGCTGCATGCTTGGGCCCTGCCTGCTGTTCATCCTCATGAACCCCCTCGCCCTCGCCGTGCCGTTACTAGCCGCGGGGCTGCTACCATCCGAAGGCCCCGCGTCGTGACTCAGGTAGCGCCTCAGCTTCCTTCCCCTTGTGGGGGCGTGCGTGGGGGGGGGCACGCCGACCGCGGCGGCATTTGCGAGCGCCAACAGGGCCTGAGTGCCGGGCTGCTGGTCGTCGCCGGCGCCGGCGCCGGCGCCCCCCGCCGACATATTCGCCGCCGCCGTCTCCGCCGCCGCCGCCGTCTCCGCCGCCGCCGCCGCCGCCGCCTCCGCCATCACCACAAGCTTCTTCGCCTTGCGGGTCGCCCGCGCGGTGCCGTGTGGGGTGGGCCTGTCGGAGTTGGCGTCGCCACCACCGCGAGGGTGTGCAGGGGTCTTGGGAGGCGGGCCCGCGTCGCCGCCCGCCCCGCTGGCGGAACCACGAGGGCTATTTGATGGCCGAGAGCCCGCCGCCGCTACATCATCGCCACCGCTGTTACCACCAGCGCCATATTCCATTCTGCTGGGGCTTATGCTCTGCCGTCCAAAGGTCCGGGCACCTGCATCGGCGGCGGCGGCGACGGTCGCAGCAGTCGGACGGCCGGGGGTGGAAGAGGGTCCGTCGACCGTCAAGCCGGGGGTGGCGACGCTCCCGCTCTGCCCGCGGCGGAGCGCCGGAACCAACCCGGATGCGGACCGCGTCCTGCGCCTGGTCCTGCCCGTGGTGATCGGAGTCGGCGGGATGTTTCTCTCCCTCTCTTTCCGAACCCCGCCGCCGCCGCCCTTCCTGCCGTCAGCTCTCCTGAGCTCGTCTTCCCCCCAAGTCCGCCCCACACCGGACGCTCCCGGCCTCGGGGTCTGTAACGACTCCTCGCCCCCCGAACCCCTCCCCTTCGCAGTAGCCGTCACCCCCCCCCCGTCTCCGGCCCCCGCCGGCCCTCCCACCGCGTTGAAGAACCCCCTAGGCCTGGGGCTCATCGCCGCGGGCCCCCTGAGTCCATGCCCTACCAAGGGCGAACGCAGCAGGTTGCCGTACGATGTGTTGCGACTCAAGGTTCGCGACGGTGTTTTCAAACCCATGGGAGGCTGCTGCTGCTTACCGCCGCCCCCGTCCCCGATGGAGCTCAAGAACGCCTCCTCTCCGCCCATAGACCGCAGCCTCAACGGCGGTGCCTGCCTGCCGCCACCGCCGCCGCCGCTACTGCTGCTGCTGCCGCCGCCGCCGCCGCCCATCGAAGCCGGGCGTGCAGACGCAGAGGCCGACCAGGCGGCCACGCAAGAGATAGCTGTGGCGGCGGACTTCGACTCCCGCGTCCTCCGAGGGGTGGTGAAAGGTAGAGCGGAAACGGCGCTGCTTCTGTGGGGAGAATCGAACGTGGTCAGGGTTTCGCACGTTGAACGACGAGCCCTGCGACAACAAAAGAGAAGGGAAAAGCACGGGGCGGGGGGAAGGGGACGGAGGCCAGAAGACGGTTTAGGTTTAGGCAAGCGTTTGTGGTAGAATGTCACGGCGGCGCGGTGGACATCGAAGCTACGCCACGGATTGGCAAGCTCGCACTGCTTGCTGAAACTACAGCAGTAGAGCACGAGAGTGCTTCGAAAAGCCAGACACAAGGTAGGCAAAACAACCTCAAGAACCGGTCTCATAAACCATTTCCGATTGACTCTACAGTCGACCCCGCTTTAAGGACGCACATGGTTTTTCCTGAAAAAAGCGTCCTAAAAGCGGGGTTGCGTCCTTAGAAATCAGGGGACGATAGCTCACCATCCCCGGGGCCAATGGAGGCATGCTCTACCTCAAACTACGCGTCTTTTACTAAGGAAGGGGGCGGCACGAAAAGTCAGCATCGCCAAGACGACTGGCAACCGTTTGTTGACGTCGAACATATTTACAATACTTGAAATGAGATGTACAGCAGTCAGGGACGTACGTGTTGAAAACAACTACAGCCAGTACAACAGTTTGGCCAACTAATGTACTGCATGGCCGGCAGCAGAAGAAGGAGGAAAGTCCAAGTAGACATAAAATAATCTCATTCTTGTGAAACGAAAAAACACGAGCGTATTTCAGCGTCGCACCGAGGAACACCAGTACAGAGTATCACTTTCCCGGCGGAGACCAGAGGCTACCCTGATGCCTTTTCCTTCCACGTATCGCGAAAAGTTCCCTGAACCTCCCCCCGCGGCTTGGCTCAACGGCTCTGTTGAGTTTCATGAGTAACCGAATGAACCGTCTTGGAAAGAAGGTACTACGTCTCACGGTACTCACCACCCCTTCCCTTGGCGTGGTACAAATACAGATAGCGCCCGCAGCTAAGAAAAATAATGTTAAGAAAAAGGCTCAACTTTGTACGAAAAAAAAGAAAAAAGGGCTATGAAACATAGCTTGACCTCGGCCACAACGTAAGAAACGCCCCAATAAGAAACGTGATGGTGCGATACCCCCATGGCATCAGAAATCTGCGGTGCTCCCAACCCCCGCCCGAGCTGAACAGAAGTGCATTTTTTTGTAGGGGGCGGAGTCCCCCCCCCCCCGTCCCCCCGCGCCCCTGCTGTTCACAGTGAGTGCTGTACAGTAGTACTGCCACACATCGCGGACAGCCATATGCTCTCCGCTGTTGTACGGGTTTGATGGCACTCTCCACCACCTCTCTTGAGGGCTTGATGATGTGGATTGTCCTCAGAGATCAAAAGACAGAAAAAAGAAAATACGAAATGCTTCTTGTAGTCTAAGGAACAAGAAAATCGGGAGGATGCGACAGTCCGAAGGAAGAAGAAACGCCATTCACGAAATGGACGACTTGGGCCGGTAATTCGACCCAAAGGGATTGGTGAGGCTCCAACCGATTTTGACGTTTCTAAACTGCGGGCGCTACCTGTAGGATCGAACATCCTCCAAGCGAGAGATAACCTCGCCCTCGGTGAGGGACGAGGTTATGCACGACTCCCTTTTTGGCGGCATCAGATGGACCGCCGGTAGATGGGAGGAATCTATCCATGCCAACAGCCAGTTGCAGCTGCGGCAGCAGACCGCTCGCTACTTCTGCTGTCTGTGCGCCACTGCTTCAGCACTCACTGTGGTGCGTGGTTTGTGCAAGGAGCGTCCCGCAGGCCCGCAGGACACAAAAAAGGGGGTACGCGGAAGAAAATGGGGGTACCCCATTATCGTGTATTCTACCGGGCCCCCGGTGCTCAGCTAAACAAGTTTCCTCTAAGCGGGGAGTCTCCTTAACGCGAGCGTCCTTAAAACGGGGTCGACTGTACACCTAATTCTTGCGGTGCGCCAAGTGCGACGAGAGACGGAAGAGCGCGTGACGGGGAGGGGCTGCACTACCGCACAGCCATCCATTCTTCACGAAACCCCTCAAGCAAAATCGACCAACCGACTGACAAACCAAAACATCAACATGGTGTGGATGCTTCCAGCTCCAGCTGGGCAAAGAGAAAATGGAGCAAAAATGCAGTGCGGAAATTGGTGAGACTATTGAATTGGATTGAGGGGTTGGTTTTCACAAAATCTGGACAATTCCTTCAGCCCTAACGACCCCTCAGCCGTATATAAAATAGAATGGTGTCCTCTGTTGCTTTCCCCATTGCTGACGAAACAAGGAGCGAGCGAGGGTTGCACAGTTCAACGGCTGCTCAAGAGACGACACCGCGGTCAGTAAACGCCTACCACACGACAAAAATGGAGGGTTAACAGTACAGTATCTATGAGAGCCGGGCTTACGATGGAGATGTTGCCAAGGAGAAGTGTGCGTCCGAGGGAAAAGCTCCTTGCAACAGAGCTTGCACCGCCGGCGTGGACTGTGCCCAGCGCTGGAACTGGTCGAAAGTCAGCGATTTGTCCTGGAGCCCAAAGCGGAGGGCGGGGGCGAGATGGGATTCGGGGAAAATGTCCAGTTCACACTTCCAGACCAACCATGACAATGACTGATTTGCCGTATGTTTTGCTCAAAGAAAAAGACAACGATCACCATGTTTTCGACGCCTGAGGAATTTCCGACGCATCATCCAGTACAGACTTTCTTGTAGCCGAGTCTCTCAGCCCCCATGTCGTCATCGCAAGCTTTTCACCTCGCGAAACCGGCTACCCACAGACACTCAAAAGTGGCCAATCTCAATGCGGCAGCGGCTACGGTTTACCGGCAAGAGATAAGGAGAGAAATGTTCAAAGAGAAAACAGGGTTGAAATGAAGGCAGTGATTTCCGCTTGTCCCGACCACGAGAAACGTAAATACTTGCACACCAGTACGGTCCAAGAGAAGCCCGCATAGGAGAGAAGAGATCTGTTCACTTGTCTCAACCCTTCCTCAAACCGTAGCCGCTGCTGCACTACTGCATCATACTCACGCTCCCCTCGCCAAACTCCCTGAGGGCCTGATCCGCAATACCCTCGTTCGTAAACATTGACCTCGGCCCCTTATCCGCGGGGGGAGTGACGTAACCCCCCGCCAAACTCGCGCCCCCTCCCCCACGCCTGCTCCCTCGACCAGAAGACATCGAGGGCGGTGCACCATCGTCCGCCCCCCCGCCGAAAAAGTCATCCCCACGGCTGTAGCTTCCAACACGAGGCGTCGTCATGGCTAGGGCGGGGTCTAGGCCGTACCCCGTGGTCTTAGTTTCGCCATCCAGGGTGCGGGAGTCCCAGTCAAGAGCAGACCTGTCTACCGGTTCTATGCCGATGTTCAGGAGCGTGCGAGGCACCTGGTTGAGCATTAGCAAGAGCTCGTCCCTTCCGATCAAGCCGTCCTGAGGGATAGAAAGAACAAAAAAAATCGGTGGCACCTGTGATGAGGCAAAAGCAGGCGTGGCGCACTTGCAGTTTCCTCGACGACATGGTACAAGAGTGCGTCCCGCGAGGGAACCGTTTCCGACGTAGATATTGAAGACACACGGATCGAGTGGTCTTCGTCGTTGAAACGACTATCATAAGGAGCGTGTTGTTTTCTGTTTTCCGTGTGATTGATTTTGCTGTATCCACCAGTCTGCTCATTGCCTCATCCAAGCGGGCCTCCGCGAGCTACGCGTCATGGGACCCCCCCCCCCCCCCCCCCCCCCCCCCCCCCCCCCCCCCCCC